TTTAAACCCCATACTTATGTCAAACCAAAATTCCACCTTCACATCAATGTAAATTACCCCATTCTTCTTTAAGCACACTTACGTCAAGAGCCACCACTTATCAAGGAATTTTTTTTTTCACAACAATCCAACTATATTTTTTTCCAATTCAAGTGGCTCTTCCTTTTTAAAAACAGTGCACCTTTCTCCTTATTCAATTAGTTCCACTCAAAAGCCAAACCAACCACCCCACACTTTAACTTTTACAAAGTTCATAACAATTCAAGTGCTCATGAGAGGTGAAAAGGTTCAAATAGATGGTTAATTCAAACAAATGGGTCAGGCTTGTAATGTGGTTACCAAAGAAAAAGGATTAGAGGCTCAAAGAGGTTAACTACGATACATAACAATTAGGTGGGTAAAATATACATATCTGGCTCAACAAGAAAACGCCTATATCACTTCCAAGACTGAACAACACTACTATTTCGCTTTGCAAACACACGGGGCAAGTTCTAGGCATCAAATGCAATGCACAGAATAACACCAAACCTCACACACACATGGCACATAACTCACTCAAGAATGGATTCATCAAGACACTCTAGTCAAAGCAGTTAAGCAAATTTAAAATCATACAATTTAAGGTACTTATACAAGAGTCAAAAACTGAGCCTAAGCATCACAACCAACGTACTCACTATTCTCAAGGCATAACCAAGTTAAGAGATATTGCTTCAATTCAAAGCACAACACAATGGCTCATATTCCTAAAAAAACTAACTACACCTGGTTCAAATAAAACCCTTGGAAAAGAACCGTGGCACAAAGAAAAACCAAGGGGGAATTATTACACTACCTACAAAAAAAATCTTTTTTTTTTCGACTTAAATCCCTCAAGAAAATTATCTAATAGATCCATCGTCGGGAAAAGTCCAATCTTTTTTTTTAAAAAAAAAATTATTATTTAATTAAACTAACACAATTAAAATAGCATAGAAAGTCACTCAGACAATCTCCTCACCCCACACTTAAAATTGTGCATTGTCCTCAATGCACACCATAACTAATAAAAGGGTAAAAGAGACTCCCTGGTAGGCCAAAGGCCGAAGCACTCACAACTCATGGGGTACTCAGACTTCTCCCTAGCTTGGTCCTTCGTGCGGGTACCTCACACTTAGTTCCAGTCATTTGGTTTGCTGTTGCATCCTTCCAATACCTTTGCTTTCCATTCTCCTAAAAAAATAAAAAATTGACACTACAAAAATAATACAATTAAAAAAAATAAAAATAAAAAATAAATAAAAGAAAGCAATAAAGCTGGGTTGCCTCCCAACAAGCGCTTGATTTAACGTCGCAGCACGACGCGAATCACTTTTTGCCTCCACCACGAGCTTATGAATTGAACCCCAAGTTTTGCTTCAAGCTTATGATTATGCTCTTGGGGCGGTACAAACTCTTGCGAGCCAAAAATTAGATAAAATCTTATGCACTTGTTGGCTCTCGACCGAGGAGTGTCACCTTGCCTAGACGGCCTTGAGAAATCCAAAATATAAGGCTCATCTACCTCTTCCTTGGACTCCTTTTTATGCTCATAAGGGTGAATTTCCATTTCACCGTTTGAACATAATGTAGAGAAGTGTTTGGAATGAGGCCTAACGCGCTCAAATACATGAACTTCAAGATTTTTAACCTCCTCAACACCAATCACACTAGAGTCAACTAAATTTGTATCTCCGACGTCCTTGGTTGACTCTAGTATTACTTCTTCAACATTGACATCCTTAAATTCTAGTTGGGGTTGTTGATGTTCTACTCTGACCTCCCCAATTAACACCTCAAATTCATACTCTTCTTGGCTACTATCCTCAATATTGGCTTGTTGAGCATTGAAAACTCCAACCACTTGACTCAATTGAGCCTCCAACTTGCGAATAGTTGCCTCTTGCCTTTCTATGTGCAATTGTTTCTCATTGTTTTGGTCCAGAAGGCACTTTAGCATATCCTTGATCTCCTTCAGGTTCGCATTCCCAGGTTCTTTGTTCCTATTAACTTCACAAGAAAAGGTAGAACCATCATAGTAAGGGGTTGGGGGAAGATAAGAAATATAAGAACAACCATAAAAGTGACCATTTTTACCACCACACACATCACACACATTCCACAAAAATTGAGTTGGTGCACATAACTCGCTCTCAGGAACGTTTTGAAAATTTTTCCACAGGTGGTTTCCTTCACAATATGTATGGAGATCAATAGTTGAATTTTCTTCACCAAAATTCCCATAATTCCAAGATGTCATGTTTCTCAAATCAACTGTTATAAAAAAATTAAAATAAAAAATAAAACAAAATAAAAGTTCAAACTTTAACCCTAGCAATATATACAGCTACAACTACACCGTAGTTCCCCGGCAACGGCGCCAAAATTTGATCACGCCCAACTCTAGTCCTAAAAACGATAAGCGGTCGCTGCAAATATAATCCGGTCTAAAAGTCCGGAGTCGAATCCTACAGAGAACTAAGGTTTCGCTGTAATTGTTCAATATCGCAAAGAAGACAAGTTTGAACAATTTCTAAATTATAAAAATTGAGATTTATATTTCTAACTAATTAATCAACAAATACTATAAAACGGTAAAATTATCAACTAACGAGACAAAGGTCTGGAGACTAAATTAAGGAGGTCTAGAGTTATGATTTTCCCAATTGTTGATTTCAATAGTTGTATGTTTCTTATAGCTTTGACTTAGTTGCCTCTATCAATCATGAACTCTCCAGCTATCATAAATCTCTCTCAAGCAATTATGATAATTTACTAGACGCACTCTCTCAAGCTACGCTATCTAGATTCACATTACAGTTCACTTAGATCGCACCCGAGGTATCGTTATCTCTAATCCATCCTCTAAACCCTCGGTTATAACTCTCGCCTATACTCCGGGAGTGATGTTGTTCAAACAACTACCTAAATATGCACTCTCTCTCAAGCAATTACATAATAAATAGGAACGGCTAATTGAGGATCCTTTCAATTAACCAAAATCAAAACGTAGTTGAACAAATAGAGATTAACAACTAACTCAAAACTATATTAATATAACAACCAATTCATCCCTAAAAGGTTCCATCAAAACTCTAGAAACTGAATTAGCTATTCATAATAGTATGTAAAACTACAATACTAAAAATCATAACCAACAATAAAAAATAGGAAGAGGAAGGAAAAACTCGCAGAAGAATTCTCCGCCTTGCTCCCAATGTGTTCTTGCCTCCTTAGGTCGAATCTATGTCCAAAATATGTCCCCCGCTCTTCAAAATAGGTTTAGGACCCCTTTTATACAAGTTGGAATAGTGTAGGGCGGAAATAACCTTGTCCCGGACGAAACAGGACTTCTTTTTGATGCCTGGAGCGGCACGGCCAAAACGCGGTAGGACCGCGGCCAGACAAGCTCTCTGATTTTCTGCCGCGGTCAGTTCCGCAATCGCGGTTTCGACCACGTTTTTCACCCTGTTCCATTTGAAATTTGGAAAAATATAAAATATAAAAGTTGTAGCCCTTTGAGTTATCTTTCCAACCATATATTGTAGAGCCCAAATGGAGTTCTGAGCAAAAGGTTATGTGCATTTTACTAGACAGTGCGCAATATGCCTACTCGAGTCTTCGTTTGTTCTCAACTATCAAATTTGACCTCCGAACACGATCCGGCTTAATTCCTTGAGCTTTTACTCAGACTTCAAAGCTTCAAATTACTTAAATTCATTCCATAACATCTATATAGCTCGGAATCACACCTACAAGGCATAAAATACACAATTAGTGCAAAACACTAGCGATTAAAGCGCAAACTCAACTAAAGTGCAGTAAATTAGAGTATAATAAGTGACTAAAATATGCAATTATAGCCTATCATCAACTAGCAAATGAAACACTTCATCTCACTGTATATTTCTTCTTGTTATGCTTCTTTTTCTTTTGGAATTTAGCAGGTAATTTTTCTTGGAGGATCCTATCTGATCTCAAAATGTCTTCTCTTATGTGAGTATTTTGTTTTCAGAGAACAAGAGAATAATACTTCTCTATTGATGGAGAGAAAGGGGCGTTTGTTTCTTTTCTTGCAAAAGGATAAGAGAGTCCATCCATGATGAAATCTATTTTCACCATAAAACAAAAATAAATGTGCTATTTTGTAACTTCTCCTTAAGGAAGTTACCTCTTAACTTCTCTAAACCTTATGTCCTTATCCTTTCTAAATAGGCTGGGTCGGTCCATATAAGCGACCCCGCCCGATATCCAACATAGAGGGAAAGATAGAAATGCCTCCATTAATTCCTGTCGTGTAATTGAGAGATACAATGCTCTAAAGCCTAAACCATTCCTTCTCCAGATGATGTAAAAGAATCACAAAAGATATATCTAAAATTGGTAAAAATTTATGTGCCAAATAAATGAACATAAGATATGTATCTTGCTTAATCAGTTTAACTTTGATCCGTGGTATTTGAAAATGAAAGTTACAAGTTGAAATGACACCAGGTTGTAGCTTCGAGCACACATGTTCAAAACATATGCAATTTTTAAGAGCTATTTCAATTTAGTCAATTTTGGTAAACTTCAAAGTGCTCGTGATGTCGCTTCTTCTTCTTCTTCTTATTCTTCAAACCTTTAGGTCAACTTCAGTTCGCCGAGTCTAAAGTTAGGTTCTCCCGTAGCCTAAATTCAGCCCAATGGTCGAAGTTGATCCTGAATCGGCTAAACTTTAAAATATTTTTCATTCTTTAAAATAACTCTCAAAATGGATGATTTTGAATTTTTATCCCCGCCTACCTTATGAATAAAATTTCAACTTTAACAAGTTTTGTCCCTCGCTTTCCCCATGAGTAATACCTTTAGCTTTAACCTTAAAATTTTACACATAAAACAAGAGGGGTCAAAAGTGAAAGACCACTCCACTAATATCATATTTCTGCAATTTTTTGCCTTAGAAGGGCTACTTCCTCCAAACTAAGAAACCAGCTTAGGAAGCTAAGTAAGCCCAGTAACGACAGAGAAACTGTTAGGCCCACGGGCCGCAGCTCGATATCTGCAACGTGTCTCACGGCTGATAGCCTCCCCTTTCTTGCCTTCACTTTCCGTAGAGTAGGTTCCTATATTCACAGTAATCGAACTTTCTACCAAAACACCTAAGCCCATCTGCAAATATCCGTCGGCAATGGCCGAAGTCGACAACTCAAGTATCCCATCTTTATCGGAGGTGCTTCTCTTTCATTACCTCTAATCAATTTAGTCTTTTTCGTGGCCCAATTATGTTATTTATACATCGGATCTCAACTAATTTTGGATTTACGCCTAGTTGATTGATTTTATATTTTTTTAAGTTTCTTAAGCTGACGAATTTGATTTTGTTGAATCATGTTTAGATTCATAGATTTGCATATTGAATGAAGCGTTTTATTCTTTTAATTAGTAGCGCTGGAAGAGGGGTGGATAAGTCTTAGGCAATTATAATTGGCATGTATAGCCGAGAGCATGATTTTTTTTATCCAAGTTAATGTTTTATTTATTTTTCTGATGGGTATCGGACTATCGATTCAATTTGAGAGGAAATAAGAGCAAATAATCAGCCGTTGGTCATGGGATGTTTCACCTATTACGAGTTCTAATTTGATTGATTTATTGGCTTTGGTTTTGGCTGTTTTCCTTTCTATGTATAGGATTTTGGTTTAGACGACAAAGTGACCAAAGTTAGAGATAGCAATGGGCCCGGCGAGGCAAATCATGAACATTGGGGCAGGTTAAACCAAAGTTTTTGAAAATCAAAAGCATCGCAGGGTGGGGCGAGGCAGGTGGCGGGTTAAAAAATATAGAGAATAACGACATGTTAAACTCGTCAAGTTTAGCTAAATTGTGCAAATAAGGAAAACGAAAAAACTTTAGCCGGGTAGAACAGGCAGGGAGGGGCGGGTCAAAATAGAGAAATATGCTAACTAGGGTGGGAGAGTTAACTTTGCGGGATAGGCTTCACCCGCACCCTGCCCCGCCCTGCCCTGTTTGCCATCCTCAACTAAAGTGGAATTTGTTTTTTTGCCTATTAAGGTGTCTAGGTTGAAAAGTGTACAGGAGAACATCTTATTCGGCCCTGCCCCATTTGCCATCCCTAACTAAAGTAATTTTTTTTTTTTGATAAGGTGAAGATTTTATTAAGAACAGTATCAAGCTGATATTGTAAAAATACACAGATACTGTTGGCTTAAAAATATTAAAATCCTAAGCGGTCTAGCATGTCCAGCATATCATGAAAATTCATAACAACATTTCCATCTTTTCATCCCTAACTAAAGTAAGTGGAATTTGTTATTTGCCTATTAAGATGTCTAGGTGTAAAAGTGAAGAGGAAAAGGAAAGGAAAATGGAAGTGGCCTATTTCCACTGTATGTTTGGTTTAAGGGAAATATTGTATACCTTCGTTAGGTTGGTATATAGTTACAACAACATACCCATTATAATGCCACATAGTGGGGTCTGGGGTAGGTTGGTATAAAGTTGTGTATAAAAAACTGTTTCCTTGGAAAGCTAAAGTAAATAAAAAGGAAGGCCAAAGAAAGCGACATTCCTCTATATGATGTTTGCTTCGGAAGTTTGTCTGAAGTTGTCTGCGTAAGATGTAACTGAAACTAATAGTGAAATGTCTTATGACTGTGTTTAACCTATGTAAGTCCAAAGTTTATCTGCCACCTGGGCCCTGTCTAGGAGGCATGTAACTCATTCCGATAATGAAAGGAGGTTTACTACGATGGGTGGTAACTGGACAAAAGTTTAATCTTTTAGTGGAAAGACAACTTCACAACAATGCTTAAAATGCAAATATCTAATTGTTTAACATGGCAACAGCCAACATGCGTCTCAATTTAGATTCTTCTCTGGAAAAATATTAAGATAAAAAAAGTAAATTTAATCTCATCTAGTAACATTTTATGCTGGAGTAGGCATTTCCATGTATTCGAAATGATTTTTTTAGGAACCCTTTAATAGTGACTTGGAGAAGGTTTTCTAGCATGTCTCCTTTGCCTATTCACGAGCTTGTAGGCTCTTCAGGTCTTCTATTGTTTGGACATTGTAGATGAATGTGGGCACTCCCGCTGAAATTATTTTTATTGGCAATACTTCTATTGGGTTCCCATAGCTCTAGTATAGGACACATCTATAACCATTTGCTTTGTTGTTCCACTGAGATTTTCTTCTCCATGATAAGAGGCCTTTTCAGCAAATGACGAACTTTTATCCAAATCCTGCATGTGCAGCAATATTTACTGAAAGAGAAAGAAGAGAAATCCACCACAGTGGCAAAGCCAGTGGAAGAAACTGAGGTTAAGGCCTCTTCTACTGCTCCATCTGAGGAAGATACTTCCAGAACTGAGGAAACCCCAGTGTTTGAGAGTAGTGAAGTTGTCCCTGCTGCACCTGAAGAAAGCAGTGGAGCCTCTGACACAGCAGCACCTGAAATTAATGAAGCCTCCCCTCCTGTAGAGGCTGCCAGTGAAGAAAGCATTGAAAGTAATGAAGACGAGACTTCTGGGAATGGGGATCAAGAATCAGCGGATGAGACCCCTGAGATCAAGGTTAGAATGACTGGAGAATCAATTTTGACTTCTATGTATTGGCTATATCTTATCCATTGATTATGTTATGGTTCTTGTTGTGATTGTCAACTAGCTCGAGACAGCGCCTGCTGACTTCCGTTTCCCTACTACGAATCAGACAAGGCACTGCTTTACAAGATATGTTGAATATCATCGGTCAGTAAACATACCTATACTGGCCATTGCTCTTTTCTGTTTGTATGTATTTTTGTAAACAATCGGTGTAGCCTCAAATATATTTTGTTGGTTTTCCTTTCAGATGCATAGCTGCAAAGGGTGAAGGCGCTCCTGAATGTGATAAGTTTGCCAAATATTACCGATCCCTTTGCCCTGGTGAATGGGTATGTTTGTTTCTATGTTGCATTTGCAAGATCAGATTATGTATGTATATATGTGTGTATGTGTGTGTGTACATATACATTAATATGTATATACATAATGTGTCTTTTGGTTGTACGCTTGCCGTAATCCCGCTTTCAACTAAACGTTGGGCAAATATGGGGTAAAGTAGAAGTCACCAGCTCACTTATATATACAAAATTTCCCTTGGATATGGTTGGATGGAAAGCAGTCAGGTTCCAAAGTGGAGTGATTGTCTTGATGTGGAAATTTGAAGTGTTAATCATAGAAATCACTATAACTTGAAATGTTAATGTATTGATTGGATTAACAAAGAATTTTGAATGCAAAATTTACTTACTAGCATTTGCGAAGTCCGTAGTAATGATTCTCGGTGCTTTTTTCGACAATTGAGCAATCTTAAGATACAACACAAAATCCCTGTACACAACTAAATTGAAGAAACGGATTAGGTACACTTTTCAGATGATAAGAAGTACAATGGAGAAATTTGCAGTGGTAAAGAGGCCAAGAGGGGGTATAGAGGAGCTCTGACTATAATGCTCACAAATCAGAGACCATAAAATCCTTAAATCCGGAGAGAGGAGGGTTCTGGGTTTGACTTGAGGTAAAATGAGTACAGACTCAGTAGGGTAGGGAGTGATAGAGTGACTGCCTTTAACACCTTCCCTCAGCAGAGAGGAGCCAGAGGGGAGTGAGCATCTTCCATCTGTAATGGGAGAAGGTCAGAGCTGTCCAAAAATCTGGACATGTGATCCAAAATGACGCCTCCTCAAGAGTTAATGAAATTAGCATACAATGGGGCCCATATCCATTGACTTTGTGTTCAAATCCTAGCACTGCAATTCATCCAAAGGGGTAGATAAGATGGGTGCTTGTGGATTGGACAGTAATCAGGTAATATGGTTCACGGGAACTAGTAGACACTCCTCTGTCGGTAGATTATACAACTCTCTTCATCTTTTGATAAATTATGCAACTTTCATCATAAGGGTGAGATAACTGATTTCACTTTTCATTTTTCCATTGTCTTGATCGCGTTTAGAGTGGAAAGTGGAGAGGGAGGTGGGAGTTGAATGTTAGCAGTGGTTTCATGGTGCGCAGTTTAGTTGGTCTAAGAAATTTAGTAGTCGTCACTCCTAGAGCTTTGTGTTGGTGTTGATATTGATTGTAATTTGCTGATGGGTTGAAAGTTTTCGTAGACTGGTGATCCAATTGCATTGTAGAGTTATTGCAGGTCAGATCTGAAGATCTTTGAGCCATACTTGGGGCTGTGATTGTGTTAGATCTGGCTCTGTGCCTGTGGTAAAAGCTGTGATTCAAATTAAAATCCTGCTCTAACATAATTCTGAGTCTAAACAAGTCAATGCTACATAATTTCGAATATGTATGAATCTCTGTATGAACAAGTGGTTAGGTATAGTTAAAGGGGGTGGTAATCAATGAACCTATGTGTCTATTCTTGAGAAATAAACAGAAGAGTGAAAGCAGTCTTTTATATATTATTTTGAGGGAGCAAAGGAATTGTTGGCAAGTTGATACGTTCTGGTCACTGTGATATTTGACCTCATATGTCAACTTAGGCTTAGATTTAAGGTGTTTCTTTGCATGCTCATGACAATCCTTGCATGTTGTCAGCTTTTTATTTTTGGTGTTTCCTTTTGGCAATGACATGTTTTGCTTTAATTGTGGCTGCAGATAGATAGATGGAATGAGCAGAGGGAGAATGGCACCTTTCCAGGACCAATGTAATCGGCAATTTTGGTTCCAACCCTGCTACATCTGAAGTCTCAAATGAATAGGGAGTTCTCTTTGAACAAATTGTGATCAATAAAGTTTTGCCTTTCCAATGGAACTAGTTAAAGCATACAATGAGTTTGCTGCTACAGAGAATTATTCATGATCGTTCCTTCTTAACTTTAGAATACACATTTCTTCTATTCTAACTCTTGTACTTGTTGAATATCCAGTAGAATCTGTTACCCTTAAATTTTTTCGGTCGGAGGATTAACATATCCTGCAATAAAAGCTTATTTTACCATTGCACACTCGTTATCTTCCTCGTTACACTAGCACTCCCTACCTCATCCCAAATATTATGCTACTTGGCGTACATATGATATGATATAATACAGTGTTGAGTCATAACGTGGTGATGCTGTTTTAACCCAACAAGAAGCCAAAACTATTTCAGTGCATACCAGATCACATCTGCGAATTTGTGTGTTCAAATCAGTCTTGATGTCATGAGTAATTTACAAACTAGCTTGCAGAAAGGAAGTTTACTGATCAACACTCAACAGCTCCGAACTCCTCTCGTACTTCACTGCACCTTTTTTGTATAAAGAAGCTTTATGATAGAAACAAATTTTTGCTATTAGTTGAAATCTATCAGGAGGAATGAACAAAATGAAGTGCATCAGCTCCAGGTCTATATCTGTTCACCCTCCAGTGGTTGCAGAACAGATCGTTTAATCCCCAATGGATAACATAGTAAAAAATACAACAGATTAAGACGATAAAACACAACAGATTAACGATCAATATTATTCTTTTACTGAAAATGTCCAAGAATGAAAAAAAAAAAAAGCTCCAATGTACAAGTGCGCACCCTTGTCCTCCCTCTACACAATATATGACTGCTTATTTATTCAATTTGATCAACTTCCCCCTGCATGGAAAGTCTCATCTCAATAGAAATCCTATACTCTTTTATCATCTATACCTGCAAGTCTGTATATATACATCCTGCACACTAATCTTCTGCATTGCTGATGCCTGGTCGAGCTTCAATACAAGTTCAGGCTAGTATGATCTTACACGACAGCATGAGACTTGTTTGAGTATGATGGCTCATTTTGACATAAACAATCTGGTAAAGGATTTACATAAAATGCCTCCTCTGAACGGAACCTATCCATTCCCTTCGTCCCTGAAATAGGTCCTTTTCTCTTCCTAGGCGATCCTTGCCTGAGCAACAACAACAAACAATTGAGGTTATATTATATTGATTCATCGTTAAATTACCAATATAACTATAAGCGGAGGAATAAGATACGATTATGCATCCATAAAGGCAATATCTTGGTCATCCAATGGCAGACCGTCATTCAAACCCCAATACAAACAAATAATAATAATTTCTTCCCATCTGACTAAGCCGTAGTAGGTAGAGTTACCAATACCTTTGCTGATGGGAGATAGCACATATCAGGTGCCAGGTGAAATAGTGGAGGTGCCTTAACGCAAACACCACCATTATTAAAAAAATAAACTTAGTCACCCAGGACTAAAAGAGCATTCATGTCATGAGTTAGATATCACTTAGGATAACAAATTTTACTTTGACATACCTTGTTCTGTGAACTTCAATAATGCGATCAGACAGTTTTTTCCCCTCTACCATTGTACCTTGGTCAACTTTGTTGACAAGCCGGACGAGAGCTTTCCTGATCAATTCCACGAAAATATTTAGCAGGTAGTTCGAATCTTGATAGCAGAGTAAGTGGTAAGAGAAAGTTAAAAGGATATTGATAAAGCGTGTTCAGGAAAACAAAATCTTGCCTATCAGGAGATATTGTTTTCTTGTGCCCCAGAAACCGACGATGTCCCTCAACTGCTCTTGCCATATTCCCCGAGTACGAAGGAATGAATATGTCACTCTCAACTGACACAATATAATCTATTGCAGCTAATTGAGATGCATGCTTGCTGAATGGTTCAAGCTCCTCATAAGACGCCAACTTTTCCTGCAAAACACAAAGATTGTTCATTTAAACGTCGATATGAAGGGGAAGATATTGGATTAGGAAATGAGATGGATTCTTTACAATAAAAATGCATTTTCAAACACATCTTGGAATACTTCATCAAAATCCGTTTCCTTTGATTAAGGGAAAAAGGATCACGTAAACCACTAGTTAGTCTTGAAGAGTGAGTAGATTTTACTAAGAGATAGGTGAATGGTGAGAAGAATCTCACTTTTCTTTTCATATCATTTCTTTAGTTGATGGAAATTTCCATATTGACAGAGTTTGACACGATCATCAAGTCTCAACAACAACAACACCCAGTGACATCCCACAAATGGGATCTGGGGAGGGAATGTGTACGCAAACCTTACACCTACCTTATGAAGGTAGAGAGGTTGTTTCCAGTAGACCCTCGGCTCAATCATCAAGTCTCATGTAAATCTATATGATTTGACAAATTTACTTTTCCACTCCTAAACGGAACAATCTACCAGTTCAATAGATGAACTTTTCCTTTTTATTGATAACCGAGAAATCCTCGAGGTCCAGTGGCACACGGTTCGAAACATAGTGGAGGTTTGGCTTCTCGCGTAACCTATCAATCTACACTACCAAGCTGGCAACATTACTAGTCACATTGAAAGTGCTGCTGTCTGTCTCAACAATTACAACCTTATGATTTTGCTGTAAGTTAATACTTCTATCAGCCATATCTCACAACAGCTATCAGTTAGCTCAGGAAATATGTTCAACAAGATATGCTGAGGTAAGTATACTTGCACACTTATTCTGCATTCTCTCTTTGGATGCAAATAGAATCTCACACTTGGTTTCAAAAGCAGATATCAACAACCAGCAACAGAACCAGCTTTTTTTTCAATAAACAACTACCAACGAAAACGTTAAGGGATATCATAGCGATGTATATTAGTGACAGAACGTTAAACTGTAGTTTGATTTTACATATTTGACAGAAAGAAAGTGTTCATATTAAAGCTAAGAAAATATAAGTTTATGGGCGTCCACTGTCACAGTGATTCACTACTAAATTTCTAGAAATAATGATCACAGAAATAAGAAAAACATCAAACAACTATTTGAGGTATGTTTGCAGACAACAAACCTTGTTCATTAATAAGGGATAGCGAGACTGTAGATCAGACATATGGGAATCGCCCCCATATATCTCTCCTGCAGCAATGTAAATCGGGGTGTTCGATGTGAACCCAAGAGCAGAAAGGAACATCCCCACCTCCCGTGGAGTTAATGGACAATAGCCTTTGCCTCTTTGTTCTACAGGGTCAATATCTTTCACTTTCCACCATGGGATGCTTTCCCTATAAATGATGAAGGCAATGAAATAAAAGCAACAACGACAACGACAACAAACTTAGTGTAATCCCACAAAGTGTGGTCTGGGAGGGGTAGAGTGTACGCAGACCTTACCCTTACCTCGTGAAAGTAGAGGGGATGTTTCAGATAATGAAATAAAAGCAACTTGCTATTAAATTCAAAAAGTCTAAGCCATATGCATTCTGTCTCTCTAGAAGACATTTCGTACAAGCATATGCTTCTAAATTTCAAACACGAGTGAGCTTCCTGTCATAATAACCTACCTGATTGCCCTTAGTTCTTCAGCTTCTTCTGGGGATAGATCATGTGTGCATCCACTAAAGGCAAGCATGTCTTTTTCATAGCGCAAATGTAAAGCAATGTATAGACCATAGGATTGCATACGATCAACCAACAACTGCAAATAAATGAGTGTATGACATGAATGACTGTGACAATATAACAGTGGAGATATTACAGAAACAATAATAAGCATAAATAAAATGATCACCTTTCCCATTGCTTCAATTTGGGGAGAAAATCGGAGGGCTTGATAGCAAGCGCGGCAGCGCAACTTCTGAATGTCAGGAGGCAGGTTATTATTTGCCAGCCTTGAGTCAGACTTGGCTGCTCGAATCACCTACAAAATTTATGATTCGGATATATTAGCCATAATAAAGTTTTTTCCTTGTGTGACAAAATGTGCAAGATATATACCTGGTATTCATCCCACATACTTGCTATCTCCTTCTCATAGTAATCTACACCAGACCAACTTCTGAAATGCTTAACTGCTCTAGCTGCATATGCAAGTTCCTTTGGTAGCTTTTTCACAATCCTTACATCATTTGCCAAAGAATTAATGAAATAGTCCTCATCAAACACATCAGAGAATTTGCTGCAATTCAAGAGCAAAAGAGTAAGTGTATTCACATACACGAGTTTGCAGAACTATATGCTACTATTCCTTTGCAATTTGACACTTAAAATTGGAGCATGAAAATGCTAAAAGAAAGGAAATGAACAATAGAAGTATCATTGCAGACCTAGAATCCTTCCAAAGTGAGCGCTTATCAAGCTCCGGAATTACAAGAGTAGCATTTATGATACGAGCAACAGCAACCATGTCACATATCTACAAAACAACAATAACTGCTTGATGAAGGCAATGAAAAATATTCCAAAAAAAGATACATCTAAGGATGCACACTGTGTGAAAAGGAGAAGGGAGTAGAAAAATACAGACCCCGGCCCTCATCTGATTGAGTCCACCATTAGAATGAACGAGCAGGTAGCCTCGAGATTCTGGAGGAGCTGGAGATTAAACGCACTATTATGAAAGATAAGCAACAGAATGATCCTCTGCTACAAGGATTACTAAAGCTATTTTGAAATATTTGTTGATAGGAAACAAGAAATGACTTACAAGTATATGATGAAGTTGGTGCAACACAACGAACATAGTCTCGATTTGGAGGCGGTTTCCATAACTTATCCATGGTCCAATTCCAATTTGCACCATCCAACTGTCAAATCTAAAGGAGTGAAAACATGAAAGATATATAACTACTCTCAATTTACTTAAGAGGAAAAGAATTCTTTTCTTAAACTTTAGTATTTTTGAAAAAACATACAACCTTGCTAGCAGTAGCAGGAGCTTTTGACAAATGGGGTGGAGCAAATTTTTGAATCCAGCTTCGCTCTCTGCTCAATCTTTGGTACGACAACTCATGCTGCTACAAATATTTAGGCACCACAGATCAGTATTAAAATCATACTGAACAATCCTAAGCGACAATAATAACAACTCGATACGCATTAATCTCTGTATCCTTCACCTCTGTTTTAAGCCCAATAAATAACAACAACAACAACGACCCCGTGGAATCCCACAAGTGGGGTTTGGGATAAGCCCAATAAATAAATATGCCTAAACAAGAAAGGGACCCCTGGAGCAATGATAA